TCTTACTCCTGCAGGAGGGTGGAGCAGTATTCTTACTCCTGCAGGAGGAAGGAGCAGTATTCTTACTCCTGCAGGAGGAAGGAGCAGTATTCTTACTCCTGCAGGAGGAAGGAGCAGTATTCTTACTCCTGCAGGAGGGCGGAGCAGTATTCTTACTCCTGCAGGAGGAAGGAGCAGTATTCTTACTCCTGCAGGAGGAAGGAGCAGTATTCTTACTCCTGCAGGAGGGCGGAGCAGTATTCTTACTCCTGCAGGAGGGTGGAGCAGTATTCTTACTCCTGCAGGAGGGCGGAGCAGTATTCTTACTCCTGCAGGAGGAAGGAGCAGTATTCTTACTCCTGCAGGAGGGCGGAGCAGTATTCTTACTCCTGCAGGAGGAAGGAGCAGTATTCTTACTCCTGCAGGAGGAAGGAGCAGTATTCTTACTCCTGCGGAGGGCGGAGCAGTATTCTTACTCCTGCAGGAGGAAGGAGCAGTATTCTTACTCCTGCAGGAGGAAGGAGCAGTATTCTTACTCCTGCAGGAGGGTGGAGCAGTATTCTTACTCCTGCAGGAGGAAGGAGCAGTATTCTCACTCCTGCAGGAGGAAGGAGCAGTATTCTTACTCCTGCAGGAGGGCGGAGCAGTATTCTTACTCCTGCAGGAGGGTGGAGCAGTATTCTTACTCCTGCAGGAGGGCGGAGCAGTATTCTTACTCCTGCAGGAGGAAGGAGCAGTATTCTTACTCCTGCAGGAGGGCGGAGCAGTATTCTTACTCCTGCAGGAGGAAGGAGCAGTATTCTTACTCCTGCAGGAGGAAGGAGCAGTATTCTCACTCCTGCAGGAGGAAGGAGCAGTATTCTTACTCCTGCAGGAGGAAGGAGCAGTATTCTCACTCCTGCAGGAGGAAGGAGCAGTATTCTTACTCCTGCAGGAGGAAGGAGCAGTATTCTTACTCCTGCAGGAGGAAGGAGCAGTATTCTTACTCCTGCAGGAGGAAGGAGCAGTATTCTTACTCCTGCAGGAGGAAGGAGCAGTATTCTCACTCCTGCAGGAGGAAGGAGCAGTATTCTTACTCCTGCAGGAGGAAGGAGCAGTATTCTTACTCCTGCAGGAGGAAGGAGCAGTATTCTTACTCCTGCAGGAGGAAGGAGCAGTATTCTTACTCCTGCAGGAGGAAGGAGCAGTATTCTTACTCCTGCAGGAGGGCGGAGCAGTATTCTTACTCCTGCAGGAGGAAGGAGCAGTATTCTTACTCCTGCAGGAGGAAGGAGCAGTATTCTTACTCCTGCAGGAGGGCGGAGCAGTATTCTTACTCCTGCAGGAGGGTGGAGCAGTATTCTTACTCCTGCAGGAGGAAGGAGCAGTATTCTTACTCCTGCAGGAGGAAGGAGCAGTATTCTTACTCCTGCAGGAGGAAGGAGCAGTATTCTTACTCCTGCAGGAGGGCGGAGCAGTATTCTTACTCCTGCAGGAGGAAGGAGCAGTATTCTTACTCCTGCAGGAGGAAGGAGCAGTATTCTTACTCCTGCAGGAGGGCGGAGCAGTATTCTTACTCCTGCAGGAGGGTGGAGCAGTATTCTTACTCCTGCAGGAGGGCGGAGCAGTATTCTTACTCCTGCAGGAGGAAGGAGCAGTATTCTTACTCCTGCAGGAGGGCGGAGCAGTATTCTTACTCCTGCAGGAGGAAGGAGCAGTATTCTTACTCCTGCAGGAGGAAGGAGCAGTATTCTTACTCCTGCAGGAGGGCGGAGCAGTATTCTTACTCCTGCAGGAGGAAGGAGCAGTATTCTTACTCCTGCAGGAGGAAGGAGCAGTATTCTTACTCCTGCAGGAGGGTGGAGCAGTATTCTTACTCCTGCAGGAGGAAGGAGCAGTATTCTTACTCCTGCAGGAGGAAGGAGCAGTATTCTTACTCCTGCAGGAGGGCGGAGCAGTATTCTTACTCCTGCAGGAGGGTGGAGCAGTATTCTTACTCCTGCAGGAGGGCGGAGAGAGAGAGGTTCAGACCCAACACTTGTTTGTGTTTAGGAGAACACCATCTGCAGGTTGAAGAAGAAGAACCAGGACCTGGAGAAGCTGAGGTTGGTTCTGGACTTCCGCATCAGTGAGTTGGAGAATCTGAGCGGGCCTCAGCAGGACGAGATCAAAGCCCGGAAGGAGCAGATCCAAAAGGTGCAGTCACAGAACACTCTGGGATCGATTTAGTTTTTATCACACAACAATACAATACATAACACTATCGTCTGTCTCTCTCTCTGTCTGTCTGTCTGTGTGTCCTCTGTCTGTGTGTCTGTCTGTGTCTGTCTCTCTCTCTGTCTGTCTGGGTGTGTCTGTCTCTCTCTCTCTCTGTGTCTGTCTGTGTCTGTCTGTCTGTGTCTGTGTGTCTTTCTGTGTGTCTCTCTGTCTGTGTCTGTCTGTGTCCATCTGTCTGTCTGTGTGTCTGTCTGTGTCTGTCTCTCTCTCTCTCTGTGTCTGTCTGTGTCTGTCTGTCTGTGTCTGTGTGTCTCTCTGTCTGTGTCTGTCTGTGTCCATCTGTCTGTCTGTGTGTCTGTCTGTCTGTCTCTCTCTCTCTCTGTGTCTGTCTGTGTCTGTCTGTCTGTCTCTCTGTCTGTGTCTGTCTGTGTCTGTCTGTCTGTGTCTGCCTGTCTGTGTCTGTCTCTCTCTGTGTGTCTGTCTGTCTCTCTCTCTGCCTGTCTGTGTCTGTCTGTAGTTGGAGGATGAGTTGCTGCAGATGGGGAAGCTGAACACTCAGTTGAAGCTGTCCTCGTCTGAGCTGCGTCTGCGTCTGAGAACCAAAGACAAAGAGACTCACAGGGACACGCAAAAGGTACAGGTGTAAAAGGTACAGGTGTAACAGGTACAGGTGTAAAAGGTACAGGTGTAAAAGGTACAGGTGTAAAAGGTACAGGTGTAAAAGGTACAGGTGTAACAGGTACAGGTGTAAAAGGTACAGGTGTAAAAGGTACAGGTGTAAAAGGTACAGGTGTAACAGGTACAGGTGTAAAAGGTACAGGTGTAAAAGGTACAGGTGTAAAAGGTACAGGTGTAAAAGGTACAGGTGTAACAGGTTCCGGCTAAAAGAATAATAATGTTTTTAGATAAACCCCATGGATCTATTATAATAACTGGATAGGGTATTACTGCTTGTAGCTGAATAACTCATGTGCTCAGGGGATTCTCGCGGTACTGCAGACTGAACCAGACTGAACCAGACTGAACCAGACTAAATTCACGCATGTTTGACGCAATGCATCATGGGAGATCATCCACTGCACAGAACCGGGAGGACCAGACGATGCCCAAATACAGGAGAGTTTCCCAGAGATCTTTGAGAGTTTGCCATAGATCTTTGAGAGTTTCTCATAGATCTTTGAGAGTTTCTCATAGATCTTTGAGAGTTTCTCATAGATCTTTGAGAGTTTCCCATAGACCTTTGAGAGTTTCCCATAGACCTTTGAGAGTTTCCCATAGATCTTTGAGAGTTTCCCATAGATCTTTGAGAGTTTCCCATAGATCTTTGAGAGTTTCTCATAGATCTTTGAGAGTTTCCCATAGATCTTTGAGAGTTTCCCATAGATCTTTGAGAGTTTCCCATAGATCTTTGAGAGTTTCCCATAGATCTTTGAGAGTTTCCCATAGATCTTTGAGAGTTTCCCATAGATCTTTGAGAGTTTCCCATAGACCTTTGAGAGTTTCCCATAGATCTTTGAGAGTTTCCCATAGATCTTTGAGAGTTTCCCATAGATCTTTGAGAGTTTCCCATAGATCTTTGAGAGTTTCCCATAGATCTTTGAGAGTTTCCCATAGATATTTGAGAGTTTCCCATAGATCTTTGAGAGTTTCCCATAGATCTTTGAGAGTTTCCCATAGATCTTTGAGAGTTTCCCATAGATCTTTGAGAGTTTCCCATAGATCTTTGAGAGTTTCCCATAGATCTTTGAGAGTTTCCCATAGATCTTTGAGAGTTTCCCATAGATCTTTGAAAGTTTCCCATAGATCTTTGAGAGTTTCCCATAGATCTTTGAGAGTTTCCCATAGATCTTTGAGAGTTTCCCATAGATCTTTGAGAGTTTCCCATAGATCTTTGAGAGTTTCCCATAGATCTTTGCAGTGGACGACGTTCCATGATACTTTGCTCCAATTACTAACAATGACAAGAGACACATCCACAGAATCCTCCTTTATGAAAGCTGTAGGTTCTCTGTCAGGTTCTCTGTCAGGTCCTCTGTAGGTTCTCTGTCAGGTTCTCTGTCAGGTCCTCTGTAGGTTCTCTGTCAGGTTCTCTGTCAGGTCCTCTGTAGGTTCTCTGTCAGGTTCTCTGTCAGGTTCTCTGTCAGGTCCTCTGTAGGTTCTCTGTCAGGTTCTCTGTCAGGTTCTCTGTCAGGTCCTCTGTAGGTTCTCTGTCAGGTTCTCTGTCAGGTTCTCTGTCAGGTCCTCTGTAGGTTCTCTGTCAGGTTCTCTGTCAGGTTCTCTGTCAGGTTCTCTGTAGGTTCTCTGTCAGGTTCTCTGTCAGGTTCTCTGTCAGGTTCTCTGTCAGGTTCTCTGTCAGGTTCTCTGTAGGTTCTCTGTCAGGTTCTCTGTCAGGTTCTCTGTCAGGTTCTCTAGACATGTTTGTGGGACGTGAGTTTAGTCTGCAGCACCACAGCGCCCCCTGTGGCCATGGGTGGACAGTTATGAGCTCATACTCTCTCCAGTTGTTATATACAGTAGATCCATGTGTTTGAGGCTAAAACCAAAAGGAAAACAAACTTTGGTCCAGAGTCTGTCGCCCCCTGGTGTCAGATGTGTGCTCTGAACGATACCATCACTATGATGATTATTTTACCTGAATTATTCTTTTATTCTGTTTTATTTACTTTATTTATTTTAGTTTTACTTTTGAGCTGGAATGTTATTGTGTTTACTATGTGAATAAAGTTTTACTATTTTTATTTAAACATGTAGCTGCAAACCTGTATATAATAAATATGCTAATTTTGTGCTATATAATTAAAGTGGATTGGATTTAATTACAACAGATGAGGGATTTAGAGACCCACGTGCAGCGGCTCAAGTCCGAGCTCCACGACTGCGCTGCGCTGATCCAGGACCCAAAGAAACTGAAGGACTGTGTTCAAAGTATCTACGACCGATATGTGCAGCCCACGGACATGGTGAGACCATCAACTACTGAGACCATCAACTACTGAGACCATAGACTGAGACCATCAACTACTGAGACCATCAACTACTGAGACCATCAACTACTGATACCATCAACTACTGAGACCATCAACTACTGAGACCATCGACTTCTGAGACCATCAACTACTGAGACCATAGACTGAGACCATAGAGTGAGACCAACAACTACTGAGACCATCAACTACTGAGACCATCAACTACTGAGACCATCGACTACTGAGACCATCAACTACTGAGACCATAGACTGAGACCATCAACTACTGAGACCATATACTGAGACCATCAACTACTGAGACCATCAACTACTGAGACCATCGACTACTGAGACCATCAACTACTGAGACCATAGACTACTGAGACCATCAACTACTGAGACCATAGACTACTGAGACCATCAACTACTGAGACCATCAACTACTGAGACCATAGGCTACTGAGACCATCAACTACTGAGACCATAAACTACTGAGACCATCAACTACTGAGACCATCAACTACTGAGACCATAGACTACTGAGACCATAGACTACTGAGACCATCAACTACTGAGACCATAGACTACTGAGACCATAGACTACTGAGACCATAGACTACTGAGACCATAGACTACTGAGACCATAAACTGAGACCATCAACTACTGAGACCATAGACTACTGAGACCATCAACTACTGAGACCATAGACTGAGACCATCAACCACTGAGACCATCAACTACTGAGACCATCAACTACTGAGACCATCAACTACTGAGACCATCAACTACTGAGACCATAGACTACTGAGACCATCAACTACTGAGACCATCAACTACTGAGACCATAGGCTACTGAGACCATCAACTACTGAGACCATAGACTACTGAGACATCAACTACTGAGACCATAGACTACTGAGACCATAAACTGAGACCATCAACTACTGAGACCATCGACTACTGAGACCATCAACTACTGAGACCATAGACTACTGAGACCATCAACTACTGAGACCATAAACTGAGACCATCAACTACTGAGACCATCGACTACTGAGACCATCAACTACTGAGACCATAGACTACTGAGACCATCAACTGAGACCATCAACTACTGAGACCATAGACTACTGAGACCATCAACTACTGAGACCATCGACTACTGAGACCATCGACTACTGAGACCATCGACTACTGAGACCATAGACTGTAGAGACCATAGACTGTGGAGACCATAGACTGTGGAGACCATAGACTGTGGAGACCATAGACTGTGGAGACCATAGACAGTTGAGAAACAGAGACTGCTTCTTCCTGAAGGTGGAGACCAGGAGCCAGGAACAGGAGATCCAGCAGGTGTTCAGTCTGCACCGGGGTCATCTGGAGAGGACTGTGGAGAGTTTAAAACGAAGACTGACCAAGTCCACGGAGGAGCATGAGAAAACCTACACTAAACTCATGAAGGTGACGCCACGGGTCTCTCTTTCTGGATTCTCTCTCTCTGTGGTCTTTCCCTGTCTCTCTCTCGTCTTAACTCCAAATCCCTCTTTTACCTCCGACTGCTTCAGACCACAGCACTCTTCCTTATCAGTGGTTCTAACAGAAGGAGCACATCACCCCTGTGTTCGAGTCCCTCCGACTCCTGTTTTAGACTTGATTTCACTGATTACTTTTAAAGCTCTTTTAATATTTACACTCTGTGGTTTAAGTCTGACTCCAACCTACATCCGTGAACTTCTAAACCCCTACGAGCAGAGAGAGAGAGAGAGAGAGACAGAGACAGAGAGACACAGAGAGCGATGTATTATTTTTAAACATTGAAACTGAAGAATTGTGTGATCCGCAGGAAAACGTGTCGTTGATCCGAGAAATCAATGAACTCCGGAGACAGATCCTCGTCGAGAAGTCCAGGGCTAAAAAGACCAGGAAGTCCAGGTCCAGACCAGGATCAGGACCATCAGAGTCTCCCTCATGTGAACATCCTATTCTCAACGTTTCACAAGAATAATAATAATGTGTTCGCAGAATCCACAGGAAAATGAAACTTTATTAACAAAGACAAATAAAACACATTCAAATATATTAAAAGTGTTGAGTAACATAATACATGAACCAGGAAGAAGGAGAGAGACAGATGTGAGAGAGACAGATGAGAAGAGAGACAGATGAAAAGAGAGACAGATGAGAAGAGCAACAGATGTGAAGAGAGACAGATGAGAAGAGAGACAGATGTGAGAGAGACAGATGTGAGAGACAGATGTGAGAGAGACAGATGAGAAGAGCAACAGATGTGAAGAGAGACAGATGAGAGAGACAGATGTGAAGAGAGAGACAGATAAGAGAGAAAGACAGAAGAGAGAGAGACAGATAAGAGAGCAGATGTGAAGAGAGACAGATGAGAAGAGAGACAGATGTGAAGAGAGAGACAGATGTGAAGAGTCTTGGCTAAACACGTGCTAATGCTAAGGCGCTAGTTAGCAACAAGTTTTAAAGAAGAGAATATTTTTATTGTGGAAGTTTTGTTTTCAGCTCATCTTTTATATTTGAGCTTCTTTTGTGTTTTTACTTTAAGGAGAAATGTTGAGTTCAGTTATGGTAGGTTATTGAGAGATAGTTGCTGAGAGTAAAATGTGTTATATATAATGTTTTTCTCACACGGGTGGAGCTCGTACAGATATATACGTTTATAAACAAAGGTCAGAGACAAAACAGATCGATCTTAAAAGTTGGCCGTCTTTCTGGACAAGTCGTTGGTGATGTCCTGGATGTTGACGTCCATTTGTTGGTGCAGATTCGCCAACGCAGCGGACAGCGCGTCAAACAGCGCCTACGGAGAGAACACAGGGATGACATCAAAGAGCCCGACTGTGGGGGTTACAGTCACAGTTACTCCTCAGGACAGACCTGGGCCCGGGACGTGTCCTGTTTGCACGCGTCTCTCAGACTCTGCATCTTGTCCTTCAGATCCTGGGTCTCGTTTCTGATCGCCTGCATCTTGTCGGCCATTTCTTCTCGCTTCTGCTGGATCAGGTTGCAGTGTCTGAGGGAAAAATCATCTGTTTTTATTTTTATAGAGAATAAAAGGTTTGGCGGAGGAGCGAAAGGTCCCCCTGACTTAACCTTGCCTGCAAGCTGAATTCTCGCGGTATTTGTGAGTTCACAAACACTCGAGAATACATCTTGTACCGCTCCCGCTTACACTTTTCGAGTCGAACCACTGGGTGTGCGAGCCAATCACGCGCCAGTCTGGGGGTTTAGGGCGGGATATCCGGGTTTGACGAAAGCAAGAAGTGCCGGGCCGAAGCAAAACAAACATGGCTACGCAGGAGGACGGACGCAAAGTCAGTTTTAGCAGAATCTCCAATTTATTTTTTGAAAGATGAACAGCGAGAGGCGCTTTGTACATTTCTGGACGGCAACCTTGGTAGGCGGGCACACAGCGTCACTTCGCCCAATCAGCTTCAAGTATTCTGCTGCTTACCCCTCCTTTCCCCGAAAGGATTCTCCGGGAGAAATCCCAGATTGATATCGCGGAGAACGCGTTAGAGTTCTACACAATCATCAATCTCGCTCTTGCCAGGTTACCCCTGACTCACTCTCTCTCTCTCTCCCCCTGACTCTCTCTCTCTCTCTCTCTCCCCCTGACTCTCTCTCTCTCTCTCTCTCTCCCCCTGACTCTCTCTCTCTCTCTCTCCCCCTGACTCTCTCTCTCTCTCTCTCTCTCTCTCTCTCTCTCTCTCTCTCTGTCCCCCTCTGACTCTCTCTCTCTCTCTCCCCCTCTGACTCTCTCACTCTCTCTCCCCCTCTGGCTCTCTCTCTCTCTCTGACTCTCTCTCTCTCTCTCTCTCCCCCTGACTCTCTCTCTCTCTCTCCCTGACTCTCTCTCTCTCTCTCTCTCTGACTCTCTCTCTCTATCCCTCCATCTCCCCCTGACTTCACCCCATGACCTCCTGGATGTGCTGCTCCTTCATCTTCTGCCTCCCCCTGACTCTCTCTCTGACTGGGACCTTACCCCATGACCTCCTGGATGTGCTGCTCCTTCATCTTCTGCCTCCCCCTGACTCTCTCTCTGACTGGGATCTTACCCCATGACCTCCTGGATGTGCTGCTCCTTCATCTCCTTCTCCTTCTGCCTCCCCCTGACTCTCCCTCTGACTGGGATCTTACCCCATGACCTCCTGGATGTGCTGCTCCTTCATCTCCTTCTTCTTCTGCCTCCCCCTGACTCTCTCTCTGACTGGGATCTTACCCCATGACCTCCTGGATGTGCTGCTCCTTCATCTCCTTCTCCTTCTGCCTCCCCCTGACTCTCTCTCTGACTGGGATCTTACCCCATGACCTCCTGGATGTGCTGCTCCTTCATCTCCTTCTCCTTCTGCCTCCCCCTGACTCTCTCTCTGACTGGGATCTTACCCCATGACCTCCTGGATGTGCTGCTCCTTCATCTCCTTCTCCTTCTGCCTCCCCCTGACTCTCTGACTGGGATCTTACCCCATGACCTCCTGGATGTGCTGCTCCTTCATCTCCTTCTTCTGCCTCCCCCTGACTCTCTCTCTGACTGGGATCTTACCCCATGACCTCCTGGATGTGCTGCTCCTTCATCTCCTTCTGCCTCCCCCTGACTCTCTCTCTGACTGGGATCTTACCCCATGACCTCCTGGATGTGCTGCTCCTTCATCTCCTTCTCCTTCTGCCTCCCCCTGACTCTCTCTCTGACTGGGATCTTACCCCATGACCTCCTGGATGTGCTGCTCCTTCATCTCCTTCTTCTGCCTCCCCCTGACTCTCTCTCTGACTGGGATCTTACCCCATGACCTCCTGGATGTGCTGCTCCTTCATCTCCTTCTCCTTCTGCCTCCCCCTGACTCTCTCTCTGACTGGGATCTTACCCCATGACCTCCTGGATGTGCTGCTCCTTCATCTCCTTCTTCTGCCTCCCCCTGACTCTCTCTCTGACTGGGATCTTACCCCATGACCTCCTGGATGTGCTGCTCCTTCATCTCCTTCTCCTTCTGCCTCCCCCTGACTCTCTCTCTGACTGGGATCTTACCCCATGACCTCCTGGATGTGCTGCTCCTTCATCTCCTTCTCCTTCTGCCTCCCCCTGACTCTCTCTCTGACTGGGATCTTACCCCATGACCTCCTGGATGTGCTGCTCCTTCATCTCCTTCTCCTTCTGCCTCCCCCTGACTCTCTCTCTGACTGGGATCTTACCCCATGACCTCCTGGATGTGCTGCTCCTTCATCTCCTTCTCCTTCTGCCTCCCCCTGACTCTCTCTCTGACTGGGATCTTACCCCATGACCTCCTGGATGTGCTGCTCCTTCATCTCCTTCTCCTTCTGCCTCCCCCTGACTCTCTCTCTGACTGGGATCTTACCCCATGACCTCCTGGATGTGCTGCTCCTTCATCTCCTTCTCCTTCTGCCTCCCCCTGACTCTCTCTCTGACTGGGATCTTACCCCATGACCTCCTGGATGTGCTGCTCCTTCATCTCCTTCTCCTTCTGCCTCCCCCTGACTCTCTCTCTGACTGGGATCTTACCCCATGACCTCCTGGATGTGCTGCTCCTTCATCTCCTTCTCCTTCTGCCTCCCCCTGACTCTCTCTCTGACTGGGATCTTACCCCATGACCTCCTGGATGTGCTGCTCCTTCATCTCCTTCTCCTTCTGCCTCCCCCTGACTCTCTCTCTGACTGGGATCTTACCCCATGACCTCCTGGATGTGCTGCTCCTTCATCTCCTTCTCCTTCTGCCTCCCCCTGACTCTCTCTCTGACTGGGATCTTACCCCATGACCTCCTGGATGTGCTGCTCCTTCATCTCCTTCTCTTCTGCCTCCCCCTGACTCTCTCTCTGACTGGGATCTTACCCCATGACCTCCTGGATGTGCTGCTCCTTCATCTCCTTCTCCTTCTGCCTCCCCCTGACTCTCTCTCTGACTGGGATCTTACCCCATGACCTCCTGGATGTGCTGCTCCTTCATCTCCTTCTCCTTCTGCCTCCCCCTGACTCTCTCTCTGACTGGGATCTTACCCCATGACCTCCTGGATGTGCTGCTCCTTCATCTCCTTCTCCTTCTATCTCCCCCTGACTCTCTCTCTGACTGGGATCTTACCCCATGACCTCCTGGATGTGCTGCTCCTTCATCTCCTTCTCCTTCTGCCTCCCCCTGACTCTCTCTCTGACTGGGACCTTACCCCATGACCTCCTGGATGTGCTGCTCCTTCATCTCCTTCTTCTGCCTCCCCCTGACTCTCTCTCTGACTGGGATCTTACCCCATGACCTCCTGGATGTGCTGCTCCTTCATCTCCTTCTCCTTCTGCCTCCCCCTGACTCTCTCTCTGACTGGGATCTTACCCCATGACCTCCTGGATGTGCTGCTCCTTCATCTCCTTCTCCTTCTGCCTCCCCCTGACTCTCTCTCTGACTGGGATCTTACCCCATGACCTCCTGGATGTGCTGCTCCTTCATCTTCTTCTGCCTCCCCCTGACTCTCTCTCTGACTGGGATCTTACCCCATGACCTCCTGGATGTGCTGCTCCTTCATCTCCTTCTGCCTCCCCCTGACTCTCTCTCTGACTGGGATCTTACCCCATGACCTCCTGGATGTGCTGCTCCTTCATCTCCTTCTCCTTCTGCCTCCCCCTGACTCTCTCTCTGACTGGGATCTTACCCCATGACCTCCTGGATGTGCTGCTCCTTCATCTCCTTCTCCTTCTGCCTCCCCCTGACTCTCTCTCTGACTGGGATCTTACCCCATGACCTCCTGGATGTGCTGCTCCTTCATCTCCTTCTCCTTCTGCCTCCCCCTGACTCTCTCTCTGACTGGGATCTTACCCCATGACCTCCTGGATGTGCTGCTCCTTCATCTTCTTCTGCCTCCCCCTGACTCTCTCTGACTGAGATCTTACCCCATGACCTCCTGGATGTGCTGCTCCTTCATCTCCTTCTCCTTCTGCCTCCCCCTGACTCTCTCTCTGACTGGGATCTTACCCCATGACCTCCTGGATGTGCTGCTCCTTCATCTCCTTCTGCCTCCCCCTGACTCTCTCTCTGACTGGGATCTTACCCCATGACCTCCTGGATGTGCTGCTCCTTCATCTCCTTCTCCTTCTGCCTCCCCCTGACTCTCTCTCTGACTGGGATCTTACCCCATGACCTCCTGGATGTGCTGCTCCTTCATCTCCTTCTGCCTCCCCCTGACTCTCTCTCTGACTGGGATCTTACCCCATGACCTCCTGGATGTGCTGCTCCTTCATCTCCTTCTCCTTCTGCCTCCCCCTGACTCTCTCTCTGACTGGGATCTTACCCCATGACCTCCTGGATGTGCTGCTCCTTCATCTCCTTCTCCTTCTGCCTCCCCCTGACTCTCTCTCTGACTGGGATCTTACCCCATGACCTCCTGGATGTGCTGCTCCTTCATCTCCTTCTCCTTCTATCTCCCCCTGACTCTCTCTCTGACTGGGATCTTACCCCATGACCTCCTGGATGTGCTGCTCCTTCATCTCCTTCTCCTTCTGCCTCCCCCTGACTCTCTCTCTGACTGGGACCTTACCCCATGACCTCCTGGATGTGCTGCTCCTTCATCTTCTTCTGCCTCCCCCTGACTCTCTCTCTGACTGGGATCTTACCCCATGACCTCCTGGATGTGCTGCTCCTTCATCTCCTTCTCCTTCTGCCTCCCCCTGACTCTCTCTCTGACTGGGATCTTACCCCATGACCTCCTGGATGTGCTGCTCCTTCATCTCCTTCTCCTTCTGCCTCCCCCTGACTCTCTCTCTGACTGGGATCTTACCCCATGACCTCCTGGATGTGCTGCTCCTTCATCTTCTTCTGCCTCCCCCTGACTCTCTCTCTGACTGGGATCTTACCCCATGACCTCCTGGATGTGCTGCTCCTTCATCTCCTTCTGCCTCCCCCTGACTCTCTCTCTGACTGGGATCTTACCCCATGACCTCCTGGATGTGCTGCTCCTTCATCTCCTTCTCCTTCTGCCTCCCCCTGACTCTCTCTCTGACTGGGATCTTACCCCATGACCTCCTGGATGTGCTGCTCCTTCATCTCCTTCTCCTTCTGCCTCCCCCTGACTCTCTCTCTGACTGGGATCTTACCCCATGACCTCCTGGATGTGCTGCTCCTTCATCTCCTTCTCCTTCTGCCTCCCCCTGACTCTCTCTCTGACTGGGATCTTACCCCATGACCTCCTGGATGTGCTGCTCCTTCATCTCCTTCTTCTGCCTCCCCCTGACTCTCTCTCTGACTGGGATCTTACCCCATGACCTCCTGGATGTGCTGCTCCTTCATCTCCTTCTCCTTCTGCCTCCCCCTGACTCTCTCTCTGACTGGGATCTTACCCCATGACCTCCTGGATGTGCTGCTCCTTCATCTCCTTCTGCCTCCCCCTGACTCTCTCTCTTGACTGGGATCTTACCCCATGACCTCCTGGATGTGCTGCTCCTTCATCTCCTTCTCCTTCTGCCTCCCCCTGACTCTCTCTCTGACTGGGATCTTACCCCATGACCTCCTGGATGTGCTGCTCCTTCATCTCCTTCTCCTTCTGCCTCCCCCTGACTCTCTCTCTGACTGGGATCTTACCCCATGACCTCCTGGATGTGCTGCTCCTTCATCTCCTTCTTCTGCCTCCCCCTGACTCTCTCTCTGACTGGGATCTTACCCCATGACCTCCTGGATGTGCTGCTCCTTCATCTCCTTCTTCTTCTGCCTCCCCCTGACTCTCTCTCTGACTGGGATCTTACCCCATGACCTCCTGGATGTGCTGCTCCTTCATCTCCTTCTTCTTCTGCCTCCCCCTGACTCTCTCTCTGACTGGGATCTTACCCCATGACCTCCTGGATGTGCTGCTCCTTCATCTCCTTCTCCTTCTGCCTCCCCCTGACTCTCTCTCTGACTGGGATCTTACCCCATGACCTCCTGGATGTGCTGCTCCTTCATCTCCTTCTCCTTCTGCCTCCCCCTGACTCTCTCTCTGACTGGGATCTTACCCCATGACCTCCTGGATGTGCTGCTCCTTCATCTCCTTCTTTCTGCCTCCCCCTGACTCTCTCTCTGACTGGGATCTTACCCCATGACCTCCTGGATGTGCTGCTCCTTCATCTCCTTCTTCTTCTGCCTCCTGATGCTCTGCTTGGACTCCTTGTCCTGCTTCATGGCCAGTGCTCGCCGCAGTTGTCCTTCCTCCAGACACAGGTTCTTCAGCTCCTTCTGCTTCTTCTCGTACTGCGCCGTCAGCTCCTGGTTCTGCAGCAGTTCACAAACCACCAGTGTGTGATACAGGCGTGTGATACAGGCGTGTGATACAGGCGTGTGATACAGGCGTGTGATACAGGCGTGTGATACAGGCGTGTGATACAGGTGTGTGATACAGGCGTGTGATACAGGCGTGCGATACAGACGTGTGATACAGGCGTGTGATACAGGCGTGTGATACAGGCGTGTGATACAGGCGTGAGATACAGGCGTGTGATACAGGTGTGTGGCACCAGTGTGTGATACAGGTGTGTGATACAGGCGTGTGGCACCAGTGTGTGATACAGATGTGTGATACAGGCGTGTGGCACCAGTGTGTGATACAGGTGTGTGATACAGGCGTGTGGCACCAGTGTGTGATACAGATGTGTGATACAGGCGTGTGGCACCAGTGTGTGATACAGGCGTGTGATACAGGTGTGTGATACAGGTGTGTGATACAGATGTGTGATACAGGCGTGTGGCACCAGTGTGTGATACAGGCGTGTGATACAGGCGTGTGGCACCAGTGTGTGATACAGGCGTGTGGCACCAGTGTGTGATACAGGCGTGTGGCACCAGTGTGTGATACAGATGTGTGATACAGGTGTGTGATACAGGCGTGTGATACAGGCGTGTGATACAGGCGTGTGATACAGGCGTGTGATACAGGTGTGTGGCACCAGTGTGTGATACAGGTGTGTGATACAGGCGTGTGATACAGGCGTGTGATACAGGTGTGTGATACAGGTGTGTGATACAGGTGTGTGATACAGGTGTGTGGCACCAGTGTGTGATACAGGTGTGTGATACAGGCGTGTGATACAGGCGTGTGATACAGGCGTGTGATACAGGCGTGTGATACAGGCGTGTGATACAGGTGTGTGGCACCAGTGTGTGACTATGTGTGTGATACAGGTGTGTGGCACCAGTGTGTGACTGTGTGATACAGGTGTGTGATACAGGCGTGTGATACAGGCGTGTGATACAGGCGTGCGATACAGGCGTGCGATACAGGCGTGCGATACAGGCGTGCGATACAGGCGTGCGATACAGGCGTGCGATACAGGCGTGCAATACAGGCGTGTGATACAGGCGTGCGATACAGACGTGTGATACAGGTGTGTGATACAGGCGTGTGATACAGGTGTGCGATACAGACGTGCGATACAGGTGTGCGATACAGACGTGTGATACAGGTGTGTGGCACCAGTGTGTGATACAGGTGTGTGATTGAGGCGTGTGATACAGGCGTGTGATACAGGCGTCTGATACAGGCGTCTGATACAGGCGTCTGATACAGGCGTCTGATACAGGCGTCTGATACAGGCGTGTGATACAGGCGTGTGATACAGGTGTGTGATACAGGCGTGTGATACAGGCGTGTGATACAGGCGTGTGATACAGGTGTGTGGCACCAGTGTGTGACTATGTGTGTGATACAGGTGTGTGTGACTGTGTGTGATACAGGTGTGTGATACAGGTGTGTGATACAGGCGTGTGATACAGGCGTGCGATACAGGCGTGCGATACAGGCGTGCGATACAGGCGTGCGATACAGGCGTGTGATACAGGCGTGCGATACAGACGTGTGATACAGGTGTGTGATACAGGCGTGTGATACAGGTGTGTGATACAGGTGTGCGATACAGACGTGTGATACAGGTGTGTGATACAGGCGTGTGGCACCAGTGTGTGACTATGTGTGTGATACAGGCGTGTGATACAGGCGTGTGATACAAGCGTGCGATACAGGCGTGTGATACAGGTGTGTGGCACCAGTGTGTGACTATGTGTGTGATACAGGCGTGTGGCACCAGTGTGTGACCATGTGTGTAATACAGGCGTGTGGCACCAGTGTGTGATACAGGCGTGTGGCACCAGTGTGTGATACAGGCGTGTGGCACCAGTGTGTGACTATGTGTGTGGCACCAGTGTGTGACCATGTGTGTGATACAGGCGTGTGGCACCAGTGTGTGACTATGTGTGTGACTATTTCATCATCATCTTAAACAGTATGTGTGTGGTACAGGTGTGTGTTACCCGCTCTTGCATCTGTTTGGAGTTGTGTGTGTGTGTGTGTTACCCGCTCCTGCATCTGTTTGGAGTTGTGTGTGTGTGTGTGTTACCCGCTCTTGCATCTGTTTGGAGTTGTGTGTGTGTGTGTTACCCGCTCTTGCATCTGTTTGGAGTTGTGTGTGTGTGTGTGTTACCCGCTCTTGCATCTGTTTGGAGTTGTGTGTGTGTGTGTGTTACCCGCTCTTGCATCTGTTTGGAGTTGTGTGTGTGTGTGTGTTACCCGCTCTTGCATCTGTTTGGAGTTGTGTGTGTGTGTGTGTGTGTTACCCGCTCTTGCATCTGTTTGGAGTTGTGTGTGTGTGTGTGTGTGTTACCCGCTCTTGCATCTGTTTGGAGTTGTGTGTGCGTTACCCGCTCTTGCATCTGTTTGGAGTTGTGTGTGTGTTACCCGCTCTTGCATCTGTTTGGAGTTGTGTGTGTATGTGTGTGTGTTACCCGCTCTTGCATCTGTTTGGAGTTGTTGACGCTGTCCTCCAGCTCCTGCAGCAGTGTGATTGTTTGTTGGATTTCCAGAGCTGTGATCTCTCCTGTCTGCACCCGACTCTGCAGCTCCACCACACACTCGTCCGCTTGGTTCTGAGAGAGAGGGGGAGAGGAAGAGAGAGGGGGGGAGAGGAAGAGAGAGGGGAGAGAGAGACAGGCACACATAAGAGAAGGTCCACAGACATGTTCAGGCTCAGGCTACAGTCTCACGGCGGCTCAGACTACAGTCTTACGGCGGCTCAGGCTACAGTCTTACGGCGGCTCAGGCTACAGTCTTACGGCGGCTCAGGCTACAGTCTTACGGCGGCTCAGGCTACAGTCTTACGGCGGCTCAGGCTACAGTCTTACGGCGGCTCAGGCTACAGTCTTACGGCGGCTCACGCTACAGTCTTACGGCGGCTCACGCTACAGTCTTACGGCGGCTCACGCTACAGTCTCACGGCGGCTCAGGCTACAGTCTCACGGCGGCTCAGGCTACAGTCTCACGGCGGCTCAGGCTACAGTCTCACGGCGGCTCAGGCTACAGTCTCACGGCGGCTCAGGCTACAGTCTCACGGCGGCTCAGGCTACAGTCTTACGGCGGCTCAGGCTACAGTCTTACGGCGGCTCAGGCTACAGTCTTACGGCGGCTCAGGCTACAGTCTTACGGCGGCTCAGGCTACAGTCTTACGGCGGCTCAGGCTACAGTCTTACGGCGGCTCAGGCTACAGTCTTACGGCGGCTCAGGCTACAGTCTTACGGCGGCTCAGGCTACAGTCTTACGGCGGCTCAGGCTACAGTCTTACGGCGGCTCAGGCTACAGTCTTACGGCGGCTCAGGCTACAGTCTTACGGCGGCTCAGGCTACAGTCTTACGGCGGCTCAGGTTACAGTCTTACGGCGGCTCAGGCTACAGTCTTACGGCGGCTCAGGCTACAGTCTTACGGCGGCTCAGGCTACAGTCTTACGGCGGCTCAGGCTACAGTCTTACGGCGCCTCAGGCTACAGTCTCACGGCGGCTCAGGCTACAGTCTCACGGCGGCTCAGGCTACAGTCTCACGGCGGCTCAGGCTACAGTCTCACGGCGGCTCAGGCTACAGTCTCACGGCGGCTCAGGCTACAGTCTTACGGCGGCTCAGACTACAGTCTTACGGCGGCTCAGGCTACAGTCTTACGGCGGCTCAGACTACAGTCTTACAGCGGCTCAGACTACAGTCTCACGACGGCTCAGGCTACAGTCTCAAGGCGGCTCAGGCTACAGTCTCACGGCGGCTCAGACTACAGTCTCACGGCGGCTCAGCTACAGTCTCACGGCGCTCAGACTACATCTCACGGCGGCTCAGACTACAGTCTCACGGCGGCTCAGACTACAGTCTCACGTCGGCTCACAGTCTCACGGCGGCTCAGACTACAGTCTCACGGCGGCTCAGACTACAGTCTCACGGCGGCTCAGACTACAGTCTCACTGCGCGGTCTCACGGCGGCTCAGACTACAGTCTCACGACGGCGGCTCACTGACTACAGACTACAGTCTCACGGCGGCTCAGACTACAGTCTCACGGCGGCTCAGACTACAGTCTCACGGCGGCTCAGACTACAGTCTCACGGCGGCTCAGACTACAGTCTCACGGCGGCTCAGACTACAGTCTCACGGCGGCAGACTACAGACGAGACTACAGTCTCACGGCGGCTCAGACTACAGTCTCACGGCGGCTCAGACTACAGTCTCACGGCGGCTCAGACTACAGTCTCACGGCGGCTCAGACTACACTCACGGCGGCTCAGACTACAGTCTCACGGCGGCTCAGACTACAGTCTCACTGCGGCTCAGACTAGTCTCACGGCGGCTCAGACTACAGTCTCACGACGGCTCAGACAACAGTCTTACGGCGGCTCACACTAGAGTTTTACGGCGGCTCAGACTACAGTCTTACGGCGGCTCAGACTACAGTCTTACGGCGGCTCAGACTACAGTCTTACGGCGGCTCAGACTACAGTCTTACGGCGGCTCAGACTACAGTCTTACGGCGGCTCAGACTACAGTCTTACGATGGCTGCTTTGATGTTCTTGACGTTCTCTCTCATCTTTTCCATCTGACTCTTGAACTCTTCTGGAGACTCCACGATCTGAGACCGCAGTTTGGCGATGTCCTCCTTCAGGTTCGTGATCTCCACCTTCAGTTGGGCCTGTTCCAAACACAAAACACAGAAACTTTTGAAGACAAATTATAAATCAGGGGTCTCCAAACTTTCCCAAGAGCTACTGCAGTGGATTAAAGCAGATATATGTAAGGGTGTATTCAGACCTGAAAAGTCCTTTGCTCCGCTTGCTTGATCCAAATCAAAAGCGGACCAAACTTGTTTCTTTTGCTCCGTTCGTATTTAGACTGTCCTTTTTGCAAGTGAACTTTTTTATATAAACATATTGACACGTGTGACGATCGGCTCCTATTGGACAGCAGAGCTCACGGAGGATAGACTCGGAACCAGAGGAAAACATTGAGGGTTTGTAGGTGCAGCATGTCTGCTCTGCCTAAGTTTGCTCTTTTTTAGACCAAAACCACCTTCAACATCAGCAGCAGCTCATATGACACAGGCCAAACACGGTGTTTTAAATATTGGAACAACGTCGGAGAATGCGTGAGGAGAAAGCCGAAGGAGACTGTGTGCTCCGTGCCCTGTCCCACACATGGATCTATGATAATAACTCTGTCCCACACATGGATCTATGATAATAACTCTGTCCCACACATGGATCTATGATAATAACTCTGTCCCACACATGGATCTATGATAATAACTCTGTCCCACACATGGATCTATGATAATAACTCTGTCCCACACATGGATCTATGATAATAACTCTGTCCCACACATGGATCTATGATAATAACTCTGTCCCACACATGGATCTATGATAATAACTCTGTCCCACACATGGATCTATGATAATAACCCTGTCCCACACATGGATCTATGATAATAACTCTGTCCCACACATGGATCTATGATAATAACCCTGTCCCACACATGGATCTATGATAATAACCCTGTCCCACACATGGATCTATGATAATAACTCTGTCCCACACATGGATCTATGATAATAACTCTGTCCCACACATGGATCTATGATAATAACTCTGTCCCACACATGGATCTATGATAATAACTCTGTCCCACACATGGATCTATGATAATAACTCTGTCCCACACATGGATCTATGATAATAACTCTGTCCCACACATGGATCTATGATAATAACTCTGTCCCACACATGGATCTATGATAATAACTCTGTCCCACACATGGATCTATGATAATAACTCTGTCCCACACATGGATCTATGATAATAACTCTGTCCCACACATGGATCTATGATAATAACTCTGTCCCACACATGGATCTATGATAATAACTCTGTCCCACACATGGATCTATGATAATAACTCTGTCCCACACATGGATCTATGATAATAACTCTGTCCCACACATGGATCTATGATAATAACTCTGTCCCACACATGGATCTATGATAATAACCCTGTCCCACACATGGATCTATGATAATAACCCTGTCCCACACATGGATCTATGATAATAACCCTGTCCCACACATGGATCTATGATAATAACTCTGTCCCACACATGGATCTATGATAATAACTCTGTCCCACACATGGATCTATGATAATAACTCTGTCCCACACATGGATCTATGATAATAACTCTGTCCCACACATGGATCTATGATAATAACTCTGTCCCACACATGGATCTATGATAATAACTCTGTCCCACACATGGATCTATGATAATAACTCTGTCCCACACATGGATCTATGATAATAACTCTGTCCCACACATGGATCTATGATAATAACTCTGTCCCACACATGGATCTATGATAATAACTCTGTCCCACACATGGATCTATGATAATAACTCTGTCCCACACATGGATCTATGATAATAACTCTGTCCCACACATGGATCTATGATAATAACTCTGTCCCACACATGGATCTATGATAATAACTCTGTCCCACACATGGATCTATGATAATAACTCTGTCCCACACATGGATCTATGATAATAACTCTGTCCCACACATGGATCTATGATAATAACTCTGTCCCACACATGGATCTATGATAATAACTGTCCCACACATGGATCTATGATAATAACTCTGTCCCACACATGGATCTATGATAATAACCCTGTCCCACACATGGATCTATGATAATAACTCTGTCCCACACATGGATCTATGATAATAACTCTGTCCCACACATGGATCTATGATAATAACCCTGTCCCACACATGGATCTATGATAATAACTCTGTCCCACACATGGATCTATGATAATAACTCTGTCCCACACATGGATCTATGATAATAACTCTGTCCCACACATGGATCTATGATAATAACTCTGTCCCACACATGGATCTATGATAATAACTCTGTCCCACACATGGATCTATGATAATAACTCTGTCCCACACATGGATCTATGATAATAACTCTGTCCCACACATGGATCTATAATAATAACTCTGTCCCACACATGGATCTATGATAATAACTCTGTCCCACACATGGATCTATGATAATAACTCTGTCCCACACATGGATCTATGATAATAACTCTGTCCCACACATGGATCTATGATAATAACTCTGTCCCACACATGGATCTATGATAATAACTCTGTCCCACACATGGATCTATGATAATAACCGAGTCCCACAACATGGATCTATGATAATAACCTGTCCCACACATGGATCTATGATAATAACCCTGTCCCACACATGGATCTATGATAATAACCCTGTCCCACACATGGATCTATGATAATAACCCTGTCCCACACATGGATCTATGATAATAACTGCACACGGCTCAGTGTTGTTGTGTAGCGTTAGCATCATAGTTAGCAGCGATAGTTAGCAGCATAGTTAGCAGCACAGTTAGCATCATAGTTAGCGCTGCATGGCTACTTCCTCAGTTTCTGTCTGCGGCTTGTTACGCCAAAAAATGCGCACATATCTTGGAGTTGTGTCGGATCGACCCGGTTGTATTCAGACCTGATTCGACTTGGACCAGAATTCGTTAGGAAGCGGACCGAGACCACCTCAAAAAGTGGGTCTCGGTTCGGTTCTTTGGTCCGGACCAGATTCGTTTGTGTGTATTCAGACCTGCATAAAAGATTCGGATCAGAGTTCCAAACGAATCCTGGTCGTTTAAAGTGGACCAGAAGTGCAGGTCTGAAAACACCCTAGTCTTATTTCGAGAAGTGTTGCTGTATTTTTGAATTCCAAGGGAGACATTTCTTGTATCTTTTAAAACAAGATCATTTTGCTTTGTCCCGTTGGAGAATCTTAAAGAAGCTATACCGATTTTTTTTCTAAGTAGTTCATACAAATGTTTTTACTAACATACCCAGTTGTATTAATTATACATAATTTCATTGAAAACTTCAGGTCATTGATTCCACTGTGTATGAAAAATCAGGCAGTGAAAAGTGGCTGAGTAGAGTCTGAGCGGGACATTCTCCTCCACTCACAGAACGAGCAGCGAACAGCCTGTGTCCTCTAGTATCTACAGCTGTGTCTCTAAGTCTCTACCAGCCTGTTGTCCTCTAGTCTCTACAGCCTGTGTCCTCTAGTCTCAGTCTCTACTAACAGCCTGTGTCCTCTAGTCTCTACAGCCTGTCTAGTCCTCTGTGTCAGTTCTACAGCCTGTGTCCTCTAGTCTCTACAGCCTGTGTCCTCTTAGTCTCTACAGCCTGTGTCCTCTAGTCTCTACAGCCTGTGTCCTCTAGTCTCTACAGCCTGTGTCCTCTAGTCTCTACAGCCTGTTGTCCTCTAGTCTCTACAGCCTGTGTCCTCTTAGTCTCTACAGCCTGTGTCCTCTAGTCTCTACAGCCTGTGTCCTCTAGTCTCTACAGCCTGTGTCCTCTAGTCTCTACAGCCTGTGTCCTCTAGTCTCTACAGCCTGTGTCCTCTAGTCTCTACAGCCTGTGTCCTTCTAGTCTCTACAGCCTGTGTCCTTAGTATCTACAGCCTGTGTCCTCTAGTCTCTACAGCCTGTGTCCTCTAGTCTCTACAGCCTGTGTCCTCTAGTCTCTACAGCCTGTGTCCTCTAGTCTCTACAGCCTGTGTCCTCTAGTCTCTACAGCCTGTGTCCTCTAGTCTCTACAGCCTGTGTCCTCTAGTCTCTACAGCCTGTGTCCTCTAGTCTCTACAGCCTGTGTCCTCTAGTCTCTACAGCCTGTGTCCTCTAGTCTCTACAGCCTGTGTCCTCTGAACGTCTCTACAGCCTGTGTCCTCTAGTCTCTACAGCCTGTGTCCTCTAGTCTCTACAGCCTGTGTCCTCTAGTCTCTACAGCCTGTGTCCTCTAGTCTCTACAGCATGTGTCCTCTAGTCTCTACAGCCTCTAGTCTCTACAGCCTGTGTCCTCTAGTCTCTACAGCCTGTGTCCTCTAGTCTCTACAGCCTGTTGTCCTCTAGTCTCTACAGCCTGTGTCCTCTAGTCTCTACAGCCTGTGTCCTCTAGTCTCTACAGCCTGTGTCCTCTAGTCTCTACAGCCTGTGTCCTCTAGTCTCTTAAAGCCTGTGTCCTCTAGTCTCTACAGCCTGTGTCCTCTAGTCTCTACAGCCTGTGTCCTCTAGTCTCTACGCCTGTGTCCTCTAGGTCTCTACAGCCTGTGTCCTCTAGTCTATACAGCCTGTGTCCTCTAGTCTCTACAAAAAGCCTGTGTCCTCTAGTCTCTACAGCCTGTGTCCTCTAGTCTCTACAGCCTGTGTCCTCTAGTCTCTTACAGCCTGTGTCCTCTAGTCTCTACAGCCTGTGTTCCTCTAGTCTCTACAGCCTGTGTCCTCTAGTCTCTACAGCCTGTGTCCTCTAGTCTCTACAGCCTGTGTCCTCTAGTCTCTACAGCCTGTGTCCTCTAGTCTCTACAGCCTGTGTCCTCTAGTCTCTACAGCTGTGTCCTCTAGTCTCTACAGCCTGTGTCCTCTAGTCTCTACAGCCTGTGTCCTCTAGTCTCTACAGCCTGTGTCCTCTAGTCTCTACAGCCTGTGTCCTCTAGTCTCTACAGCCTGTGTCCTCTAGTCTCTACAGCCTGTGTCCTCTAGTCTCTACAGCCTGTGTCCTCTAGTCTCTACAG